ATCTTCGCGCCACTCGAGATCTCGTTCGAGGTCTGTGTCTCCGTCTCGTTCTGGGTTGAAAGCACGCTCTGTGTCAAGGTACGTAATTTTTTTTTATTTTTATTTTTTTTAATGTGAGGGAAGGGCTTATCCACTGTTTTCATTATCTGTTGTACGAGTAAGTGCAAATGCATGGATCGTTTTCTGCATTGTATATACAAACACATATGGTTTTTACTCATGATACATGGGAATTTGATGAATGTGGAAAACAATGGTACTAGTTCTCCATCTATTGGCATTGGGTATATTTAAGCACTTGGTCAGACATGTCTGCTGATATTGTGCTATCCTAATGCCTCTTTGGAGCCTGATCTTCATTGGTGGGGACCTCAAAGTTATGTAGACAGAATGAAGGAGGGAGTCAACATAAGAGATCCAAACCTCCGATATATCAATGAAAATTGACTTTGAAGGTCATTTAGAAGTTTCATCTGCCTTTTTTTTCTCATCGAAACTGGGGTTTGTATAACAAAAAAGTCAATCTATACTCAATTCATACTCAAAATCTAACTCAATTTTAACTCAACTATCCTCAATATTATCAATATAATTAAATAATACCAACTAATTATTTTTTACACATCACATCAACTTTAATTTACTAGTCATCCACTTACATGATTTTAACTAACTATCAATTCACATTATCTCTTTCTTATTTTTATATCAAATCAACTTTAATTATTTTATTTTAGATATTCTTTTAATATAAAATTGAAATTCCACTAACAACTAATAATACCACTTTTCTCAAAATTAACTCTGGTTAACCAAAAAAAATCATTTTGAGCGGATATATTTATATACAAACACACCCTTAGTGTTTAGGCATTAAATTTTTCTTGATAGCTCGTAATAGTTTATAGGCAGGTTTTTTGAGTATACTGCGAATAGTTCATATGGTAATCAGATTCTTAAGATTTTTCATTCCAATAAGTGGGGTCTCAAGATATGGGCCAATTTTACACATGCACAAGTCAAACCATATTAACGACAGTTGAATTTAACGCTCAATTTGTATAATTCCCAAAACCATTTCTTGGTCAGCTCATTTGTAGTCTGCGTCTCCCTTTTTACTGTGTGGCTTCAGTTTTGTTTACTTTTTGTAGATATGCAGTTATCTTTTGCTGTTTCTAAATATGGATATATGCGCAATGTGGGGATTTTGTATATTAGGATCTTGTTGTGGGTTTTTGGTTCAGTGGGCATCCACTCTATTGGTTTGTGAGGTATGGTGTTTTATTAATTTTTAACTTTAGCATATCCTTCACGATGTCTCTGTTCTAATGAGCATCGCCAAATGTCCAATGGGTGCTAGATTGGGAAAATTGGGGACACGAAGATCATGGATTTACTATGGTGAAGCTGGACATTGAACAAATTGGGCATTTGATTAAAGGAATCTCCTTTTTGCGTGGATACATTTTAAATTGGTTCGATTTTACTATTGGTCTTTCTAAAGTTGAATTATAAAGAGCATTGGAGCTTTAAGGTTTTTTGTTTCTTGTTTTCGTTCTAGATATTGCCTACTTAAGTTGGATCTTTCTAATATTTATTTATTTATTTTTTGCCATGTATGTTTTTTGCTTTATGGTTTGCTGAGTTTCTTCTTATTTATTTTTTGGTCACGGTCACTCTGATGTGGATGTGGCAACCGAGGCTGTTGGATCAAATGTTGTTACGAGGCAATTAGTAGATTTTAAACTGGGTTATTCTGGAAATTTTTGCAGATCTCCTTCAAGGTCAAGATCTCCAAAACCATCTGTAAGTTCAATTCTTGATTTTGATCAGCCGATGCTTAATCAATTTTTTTTTAAACTCATGATTTTTTTATAATTTAATTTTAGCGACACCATTTAATTGGGTAGATTACAAAAGTTACTTGTTTAAAACACATCATCATAAACATCCAAATATGTTTCGATATTGGACCCGAATCTCTGTATTATATTTTGCTTCTTCTTTATGAGTTGACAAATTATAGTAACAGAAACGTGCGAGTGAAAGCCCAAAAAGCAGGAGCAAGAGCCCGAGCCAGAGTAGAAGCAGGAGCCTTTCGAG